CCCCCCGCCCCCAGCCTCCCAGTCTGACGTCCCAGTGACCCCTGAGCGCCCCCAGTCCGGGTCCCCAGTGTCCTCCCAGTGTCCTCCCAGTGCCCTCTCCTGAGCCTCCCTTTCTGGAGTCTCAGTGCTCCCCTCTAGTGCTCACCCCAGTGCCTCAATCTGGGGCCCCAGTGCCTTCTCCTGAGCCCAGCTGCAAGTCCCAGGGCCCTTTCAGTGCCCCCTCAGATCTCCTCCAGGCTGCGGTCCCAGTGCTGTGTGTCCCCTCCTGACCCCTCCAGCCTGGAGCCCCAGGGCTCCTGCTGTACTCACAGGATGGGAACCCAGTTAGGGACCCCAGTGTGAAGCCCTAGTGTTCCTGGGCCAGGACCCCTGTGCTTTCCCAGTGCCTTCCCTAAGCGGGGTCCCAGTGTCCCCCCATCCCCCAGTGCTGTGACCCCACTGCTTCCTCAGGCTTTCCCCAGGACTGGGCTCTAGTACCCCCAGTACAGCACCCCAGTTCTTTCCCAGTTCCCACGTGGTGTCCACAGTACAGGAACCTGGTGTCCCCATCAGAAACCCAGCTGTCCCCCTGTCTCTGTGCTGTTCAGAAGGCACAGATTTGGTCCCAGTCTGCTCCAGTTTGGGTTATGAGTCTGTTACTGGGCAACCTGGGAGAGCTAGGGGGGCAGGCTGGGCATGGACTGGGGGGGTAGCAGCCCTCTGGGGGGCCCTGGGCCGGGAGGAGATGCCCCAGCCCAACCCGGGACAGGCAGAGGCCCAGGGCAGGCAGTGTCTGCCTTGGTCCCGGAACAGGGAAGGCTTTTCCTCTTTCACTTTCCGCCCAGGAAAAGCCCAGGGCGGGAGTTGGCTGCATGCCCTGGGGGGCCCGGCAGGCCTTGGGGGGCGCCTTGAGCCCCTTCCCCTGCCAGGGGGACCCCCTGAGCTGTGGGCACAGCTCTCCCCTGCCATCACTCACCCACTTCCCGCCCCCCTGCTTGGGGCCCTCACACAGGCTCTGATCCCCCAACCCCTACCCACGGCGGGCACCGGGGGCCCTCCGCCTGCCCCGGCCCCCCCCCCCCGGGGGTGGGTTCCTGGGAGG